GTCGATGTCCTCTTTAACATTTTCCACATTTGCATACGTTTTCCCATTAAGATGGTGTTGCAGCAAACGAAAAAAGATGGTAATCTGATGGTGGCATATCTGGAAAATATGGTGGGTGGGGGGATAATTTCCTAACCTAACTCAATAATCTTGTGTTGCGTCAAACGTGCCACATGTGGACATGCATTGTCGTGGAGAAGAAGAACATATTTTCGATTGACGAATGCAGGGCGTTTCTGATGAAGTGATTTAAACGTTCCAGTTACTGACTATAGATCTCTGCATTCACAGTTCGCTGTGGATTGAGGAGTTCGAAATGAGTTACTCCTTTGATGTCCCACCAAATTCAAAGCATCACTTTCTGCGGATGGAGTCCAGGTTGTGTGGTCGGAAGTGGTTTTTGTCTAGGACTGAGCCGTTGTTTTTGTCGTTTGATATTCGCATGAAGAATCCATTTTTCATCACCCGGTGACAATTCTGTCCAAAAATGGTTCACGCGCATTACGCGCCAGAAGAGACGAAACAGCGTTTACACGTTAGAAACGATGATCATCGGAGAGTTCGTGAGGCACCCAAACACCTTCTTTATGGAGTTTTCCCATATTTCTTAGATGTTTGCGTATTGTTTCATGAGAGACACGCAATTTCAGGGCCATTTCATGAGTATGTTACCTTGGATTAGACTCAACAAGCGTCTTCAGAGCATCAATATCAATTCCAACATGTCGGACTCTGCCATCACAGTTTTTAAGGCTGAATGAAATTTGCTGAACCATCGTTGACACTTACGAACGTTCAAAACATTTCCATAAACTTCTTCGATATTCTTTGTGGCTACAGAAGCGTTATTTCCCTTCTTGTATTCAAACAGAATTACATGCCGAATGTGTGTCTCGTCGTCTGCCATCACTATAAGGGATTAGAGTATACTAAACTTTATACATCATATAGGCTACATCAAGGTGACGTTTAGGCGGTTCGTTTAACTATCATACGTGATGTACGTTTTTTTCGTGTTTTTTTTTGGGGGGGAGGGTAATGAAAATATTTCAAAACACGACTTTAATTTCTTGACGACCAATATATATATATATATAAATGCAATTTCAAATGTATATTTTATATAAGGAAATATTTTTAACCCTTAGGAGACATATTACATGAAATTTCTTTAAAAACCTGTTATGATATTGACTGTATCAAACCAAAACCTAAACTTAACTCCTTATAAATATTTTATAACAATACAGTGCTCAACAAAACGTAGTTTCAACTACTATAGTTAATGTGACATACTGAATAGCAGTGTGGAAAATCAAATATGTACAAAGTCTGATATATATATTTATAATTGTAACAGTAAGCGAGATTGTTGTACAAAGTTTGAAATACATCTATAATTGTAACATTAAACGAGGCTATCGTACAAAGTCTGAAATACATCTATAATTGTAACATTAAACGAGGCTATTGTACAAAGTCTGAAATACATCTATAATTGTAACATTAAACGAGGCTATTGTACAAAGTCTGAAATACATCTATAACAGTAACAGTGTTGTTTCTTTGAAGTTAAGCACAAAGCTACACAATGAGCTATCTGTGTTCTGCCCACCACGGGTATCGAAACCCGGATTCTAGCGTTGTAAGTCCGCAGACATACCGCTTTAGGACCACAAAACAAACTGTCTTAAATGCTCTTCTATATCACGCGACCAAGCGTTATTTGCTTTTTTTTAGAGGAAAGCCACAAAGGGCTATCTGCTGTGCTCATATTTTAGCGTTGCAAGTCCGTAGTCTCACCGCTTTGTTCAGCCTCCCAGTTTATCTCTTAGTTTGTAAAACAAATAAAATTATATCAAAGTTTTCTGATAAGATTAACGTTCTAGGTAAAATTATTATTTAAGAGTAAATTCGAACGTTTCTATAAAGTTTCCAGAACATTTATTACTAACTTTAATGGCAGCAGGTTGTAGTTTTCTCTTGGATTGTGTCTTCTGATTTTCAATTACTTCTGAACGTGGCACCTGAAAAGTGTTGCTAATCTGAAACTTTATTCAGAACTGATTTCTATAATCTGAACGGCACCTTATATGCAAATGGACTAAATGAGACAGGCCGTTAGGATTCAGATATAGCTGTCCCTAATTTCTAACTACTGGCAGCATCCCACTCCCACCTCATTATACAAGGGGCCCGGCATGGCCAGGTGGTTAAGGCACTCGACTCGCAATCTGAGGGTCGCGGGTTCAAATCCCCGTACCACCAAACATACTCGCCCTTTCAGCCGTGGGGGCGTTATAATGTGACGGTCAATTCTACTATTCGTTGGTAAAAGAGTAGCTCAAGAGTTGGCGGTGAGCGGTAAAGACTAGCTGCTTTCTCTCTAGTCTTACACTGCTAAATTAGGAACGCCTAGCGCATATAGCCAGCCCTAGTGTAGCTTTGCGCGAAATTCAAAACAAACAAAACAAATACGTTTATAACGTGCTCACAGCTGAAAGTAAGGAGTGTATTCAGCGACATCGCAGCTCCAACCTTGGACTTTTCGACCCGCAGCCCGACACGCTAACCACTAGGCTATTCCCGACTAAATAATCAAAATGTTTACAGATTCTGGTAAACAAGCGTTGCATTTTATAGTTTATTCTTTGGAGATTTGGTTTCCTTAATTACACAAGTTTCTAAGAAAATAAACATTCAGCTATTTTATCTAAATAACAGAGTTCAACGAGTCTATTACATAATAAAATTAATTCCAAATAAAATGTACTCTAAATTTACTTATTCGTAAGGAAATTCTGATATTGTACATTTCACGTGCAAAATGAAACTAGAGTAAAATGACGTAAATACTCTCTGCGCACACAGTCTTGGTTCCAGATGCTCTTTTAGGCGAGACTACGAGCTCGACTGCCTGACAAGAGATAGTTCTTGAAGCAGCCGCCATCTATCACCTCATGTCGCTTTTCAGCTCGCCGAGTCAGATTTACAAGCTTACACTAACCGTTAAAAGTATCCCAGTTTTTTAATATACTTAACAAACAGCTATGATTATCAGTAGAGTTGTAATTGTATTTCTCTTGTACTACTGCTACGCTTCCAAGCTGGAGAGGTAGGTAAAATATCGTAACTTTTAACGTTAGCTTATGTAGACTGATCCGCGAACACAATGTACTCTTCATCGAACCCCCATATATTAAATATATATATTTATTTATATATTTTATAGTTTCACAAACTATTTTTAATGTTAATATTTCTTTCTCAGGTTCTATACGTAAGTATTACAAATGATTGAAACTGATGAGTTTACTTCATTACAAGGAATGTAATTTTTTTTACAAATGTTTGTATATTTTTTGTTAGACTATTAGTTTGAAATGGTCGTCATACTTCATATAGTTGACTTTCTACTTACGTCAGATTTTAATTAGAAGATACAGCCTTATCTCGAATATTGCTTCTATTTGTGTTAAAACAATATAAACAATTTTTGATTTTTTTATATATGTAAAGGTGTTGTTTTTATGACTATAATTACTTCGTCTAAAATCCCCATTTCTTGAATTAGCCCATTTTAAGTCATATTTTTTTTAGCTGTTAACAGTCGTCGTAAAGGCATTTATTGCTATAATTTTTTTTAAATATACCTAGGAAAAGACCTACATGCTATTTAGAGTTAAGAAATTTGAGTATACATACAAACAACAGTTTTCACATTAGCGTAGAATATTTTATTAATAAAATTAAATGACGAAAAGAAAAGTAGATAAAAATGTTTTCTACACGTTTACTAAATGAATCTAATTTGCAGCTTTTCGGCCTTAGGCCTATTTCAGGCAAAAGAACAAATTACAGCCGACTATGTTTGCAACTTTTCGGCCTTAGGCCTGCTTCAGGCAAAAGAACAAATTACAGCTGACTATGTTTGCAACTTTTCGGCCTTAGGCCTACTTCAGGCAAAAGAACAAATTACAGCCGACTATGTTTGCAACTTTTCGGCCTTAGGCCTACTTCAGGCAAAAGAACAAATTACAGCTGACTATGTTTGCAACTTTTCGGCCTTAGGCCTACTTTAGGCAAAGGAACAAATTACAGCTGACTATGGTGGAGAGTGAGTTGGAATTCCAGCTTATTCCATTCATTTGTGTAACACGTATATGTATTGAGTTTTCAGTTTATACAAGTTTCTTGATAAGATTCTAGCTCATTGTTTATTACTATGAAATTCATTTGTTTAACTTTAAAAGATATTTGAAAACAACGGGCAATTTATTGCTTGATGGGGTAAATTATATAATATTGTAATATATAATATTGTATACATAGATATGAAAAATATAGTTCGTTAAAGACCATGAAATGCTTCGTCCTTGAAGTAGTAACTGAACTTTTAAGGCTTACTACATTGAAAGGCTACGGCCACTACAAATAAATCTTGTTTTAGGTTTTTATAAAAACAAGGTAACTGCATATTTTTTTCATGTTTATCTGTTTACTGCGGCTCGAAATTAGAGTGTGTAAAATACAGCATTTCAGATCTGTCTTTTTGTCAATAAACTTTTCACTCGTTACCAGAACTCAGTTAGGCTCTATGATAAGAGACAAAAAATTCTATGTTATACACGCGGTTTAATGTATTAAAACTACTTTTCAAATGTTTTTATACAAAAAATTATACCTGTTTAATTTTCCATTATTTTTCTGGATTACGGAATTTAAACTGCAACTTTTAAGCCTAACTTTACGGTAGGTAGTATGTTTTCAACTTTTTAACAAAAAGGTACCATTACAATTTTTTTAAACTTCAGAATCAGTAACAGTAGATAATTAAACACGAAAGCAAAATTAAAAAAAAGCTTATTTAGAAAATAAATGAATGACTTGTTTACATTTTATTTTATTTTATGTGTTTATTCAATTTGGCAGCATTTAAAAGAAAAACTGTTTCATAAGTATAGGTAGGGGGTCTTATAAAAAACTCGTTTGCACGCTAATATGTTTATACAATACGTCAGAGCATTTTAAGTGATGTGTATTTCGTTATATTTTATCTAACGATAATTAATCTCCACCATCAAACACTCCAGTGTATCTGACAGGATATTAACGTCGTAACGTTGAATCATATGACAATACACACGGTTATCAATGTTCCTTTCTTAGATCCAAATAAACAAATTATCATAGAATGATCTAATATTTCTTTACACAATGTTTTGTTATTGCAGCGTTTTTATATTTGCGTTACGAAACAAGGAAATGTGAAAATAACGGTGCTTACATTTGATAAATGTTCAGGTATCTCTTCTCTAAAAGTTAATTACGCCTTCCCTCTAGGATGTTATGTATTGATAGATACATTCTGTTATAATAATGCTTTAGTTAAACCGTGATAAACTTTAAAATTGTTAATTTAGTCACTATTAACATGTTAATAGTTATTTCTGATAAGATTTCAAGGTTTTTTTAAGCACTTAACGTTGGATAAACCTTTCTTTTATCGCTTAAACGATACGTTTGATATTTATATATTTCAGTCATATAATAACAGATTATATGTAATATATTTTGGTTACTTGGCATTTGGTATTTTTTACACTGAACGTGGGTTAAACAGCCGTATCAATAACCCTAAGGCCCAGGTGTACTCATCTCCAGTTTAGAAGTATTTACAAGATCAAGAGGTGTCCACTCAGCAGCACCGTCGCTTTCACGGTTACGTTAAGCTGAATAACGGGATTGACTGTCACAATTATAACGTCCACACAGTTGTAAGTGCTAAGTGTATTTGACGACATACAACGGCTCGACCCTTGAACCTTTCGATCCGCAGTCCAACATGTTAACCACTGGACTACAATTCCATTCATATAATTAGGAATTGTAATTAACTTTAAGCTATATCGAATTTCAACAATCTCGATTGTTTTATCTGTTCTTAGACGTTTTTAATTACTATATATATATATTATATGAGTTATAGCTTCAAAACTATTATATCAATTACATTAATTGTCAATAGGCGATCAAGATCAGCACTATAAAACAATAATGAACTTAATATAAATTCAAAACTATTTAAAAAAAACTTCGCACTTTCCGATCGTTAACCAAAAGTCATAACGGAGATTGCCTGTGGTAATAGCACCCAAAATCATTAGAGATATCCCATCTATCAGACAAAGTCCAAAAATCAGATGACAAAATAGTCGGCAGGGTACAGAGTTGAGTGCTTACACCCACAACGTCTGAACTCTTACTGCCTTTCACTGTTCTCAACCAGTTGTGAGATGGCAGTTACCCTTAAAAATGTGTAATAAAGCTAAAAGTAGAAATAAGATAAAATTAAGCCACCCAAAAAATATATATATTTCTACTAAACAGTGCCTACCGTCCCCACCCTTAAAAGTTATAAAAAAATCCTTAAAGTAGAATAAATACCACCCTAATAATTCTACTACATGTTATTCCAAACCTCCACCTTTTTTTCTGAAAATGACTTATTAAAAAAAGATCTTAAAAGAACTACAAGACTTACCTTAAGTAGTTCATATTGTCACATTATTCAAGCATAGCACGGGATAGCTGAGACAAGTCCAGCTACTTGAAGTTAGTCTTTCCAGTTCCAGCTATACTGAATAACTTACATAACAAAGGTAGCTAACTACGGTCTCTTACGGTTTTTAAAGTTGGGCATATGTGTAATTTGTATATTTAGTGAAATTTTAAAACTTATATGTGGCTAATGTAAGTGCCCCTAGTGGCTATGATCAGAATGTGGTAATCATATTAGGTTTGCAGAAGTAAAAATGTAAATATGAATGTAAGTGCCTCCTAGTGGCTATGATCAGAATGTGGTAATCATATTAGGTTTGCAGAAGTAAAAATGTAAATATGCATCAATCTTTCCTCCGTGCAATAGCATCCAGTCTCAACTTACCCAACAAAAATGGCTTGTAACACTTTAGTTTGTTTAATGTTATGTCTTTAATCAAATTACCCAAACACTTATTTGTTTAAAATATATTCACGCAAGTCCAATTAGCCGGAAGTTACGTTAAAATAAGTAATTCAAAACTTTTCTATCAGCGATATTATCTCGTGGATCGAAGCCAAATCGTTGTGATAACATTCTTGGATTTTCTGTTGAATATATGTGTCGCATTTCCTACATTTAATGGATAAGACAATGTCGATGATTTAAAAACTAAATACTATAAGAATTTTACCCGGAGTTCCCCCAGTGTCGTAAACTGAAATTATCAGCACAGATACGCCACATTTTGTGCACACAGGTCTGGCTAAGCTGAAGTAAGCTAAGCTTGGATGTGTTCTGTGTGAAGTTACAACCTATGTAACAACAAAAAAAAACAACTTTGAATTACTTTGTTTAATCTCAAAACATGGAATATATCGAGCTCATGGAAACCTATAACCAAACTATTGTTTTTGAGGATGATCATATGTCTATAATAAACTTGAAAATATTTGGCGTCGCTCTTGCATTAATATTTGCATAAAAATACATAAAAAATAGAACATTTTTATCATGTACTATGCAAATTTTTATATTTTGCAATTCACGACGTTGATAAAAATTGATTAATAGTTTAAAAATCAATGTATGTATGGTATGAATTTCTAAGGAAATAATATTTGCATCTTTATTGTTGAGTGTGTCTGGTCCTTGATAACAAAATATTAATATTGGTCCTTGATAACAAAATCCAAAGCACAAATAGATACTTAAATATGAAGAGGGGGTAAAATCTGTTTTAGGATTTCCATTGAGAAAAAGAATCCGAATTATTTGAACAGAAAGGGCGACTTCACATTCCTAATTTTACTTTGGTAGAAACCAAGGAAGGAAGGTAGTCGTGACATAGTAGTTAGCGTGCCGGGCTGCGAATCGTAAGGTCTGGGGCTTGAGTTCGACATGCTACTGTTTGTTGGTTTGTTTATGAATTT